AAAACAAGGTAGAACCAAAACACTAAACAATAATACGTAAGATGAGAAGAGGTACTTACACTTTAAACATTCTAAACCTTGTTTTTCAGGAGGAGGATGGAGATATTAAGTTTTTGACTTTGAGTTGGGTATTTATGTAGACAATTTAAGAATAATGTCTTGGAGAACAGAATAATTTCCATTCCAAAAGGAAAAAAGGGAATATAAAGAAAGCTCAATTAATCCAAACAGAAGGTAGGAAAGGAGGATGAAAAGAGTCAAAGAATCTTTTAGTAAGTAGAAAGAATCAAATAAAATAGAAATAAATCTAATACATTAATAATCACAATAAATGTACCTGTACCAAACGTGCTACTTAAAAGACAATGATTCTTGGTTCTGAATTTTTAAAAATGTGTGAGATGTCATTTATAAAAGACACACCTCAAACACAACGTATCACAAAGTAAAAATAAAGAGATGTCTAAAGATACACCATGTGAACACTATAGCACAGATCACAAAAATGGCAGGAGAATATTATGAAAGTACTTATGTTAACACATTTGTAAACTCATAAAAAATGGACATATTCCTAGAAAAATATTTTAGCAACATTGCCTTAAGAACAAACAGAAAGTCTGTAGAGTCTATAACCACAACAAAAAGAACAGGGCTAGGTATTTTTATAGACCAGTTCTACAAAATTTAAAAAGCAACTGCATATTTATACAAATTTCTCCATAGAACATACAGTTGTATACTCACATAATGAGATTAGTTTAACCTTGATACTTAGGAACAGCACAAGAAAGGAAAAGTACAGGGGAATCCCAGTCATGAACATTAATGAAAAAACCCTAAACAATATGTTTGTAAACAAAATCCAGCAATGTGTTAAAATATAACTCACTATGAACAAACTGGGTTCGTTTCAAGAATTCCACAACAGTTCATACCATTAACTCCCCATGAAAACATTTTAAATGAGAAAAACAATATGATTATCCGAGATGACAAAAAGACATTTGATAAAAATCAACAACCAAATAGGACTTAAACTCTTGGAAAATTTTTAAAATCAGAAAGAACACAAGGATGACCAAAACACTGCTTCTATTAGTTACTGTTCTGGCAGTTCTGACAACAAAATGAGAAAAAGAAATAAAAGGTATAAAGATTAGAAAGAATCACAATTGTTACTATTTGCAGAATGATATAATTTTACGTTATCTTGATAACATAAAAGTGTACAAATTATTGGAATTAATTAGAGTGTAGCAAGGTGGTTCTTATAAGATCACTATACTGCAATCAATTCTATTTCTATATACTGCAACACAGGGAAAGATCATTAAAAGGTATATCACTTACAATGATAATGAGACAATACAAGGTACATAGAAATAAAAATAACAAAAAGTATGCAAAACTCTTAAGAAGATAATTAAAAATGTTATTGAAAAGCATTAAAGGAAACCTAAATAATGGAGAGATGGATGATGTCCCTGGATAGGAAGATATCAACACATAGATTTAAGTTCTCCTCAAACGGATGCATGGATTCAATTCAATTCAAATAAAAATTTTAACATGTTTCTTTGTGAACTTGCCAAAGCTAACTCAAAAACCCATGTGAAAAAGAAAGAACCCTTAAAACACTCCTGAAGAATAAGACTATGGGAGGTTGATATTAGGAGCAAACAAACCAGTTAACAAAGAAGAAAGCCCACATACAGATCTATACATACACAGAAACTTGATATAACAGTGGTAGCACTGCAGATCAGTGAAAAAAGGAGTATTCAGTAAATGGTGCTGAGCCAGTACTGGTGACTAATGTACTAGACAGTACAGATCTAGACTGTTCAGTACTCTTGGCTGATAAGGGCTCTGCCAGCAAATGTATTGATCACTACTGATTTCACCAAGACCCCCTCTTCCCAGTCTTGGAGCTCCACAGAAGACACAACGGGGAGCTGTCTGTGGGGGAGGTGGGGGTTGCAGGTACCTCTCCCTTAAGCTGTAGTGAAAAAAGAGAAAAGTGGATTCCTCCCCTTAGCAAGGCTTGGTGGGAAGGTGAGTCTCCACCTGCCCTCCCCTCTAAGTGTGGCACATGCGGTGGCCAGCTGGGAGGAGTTTCTGCAAAGATGCAGAAGAGAGCCATTGAGGGTGACTGCATGAACATGCCTGTTCTCCTTTCTGCTGGCCACCACAGCTTAAGGTGACTAGATGACATTATATTAAGTAAGATAAGTCAGACAGAGAAAGACAAATGCCATAGGATTTCACTTATAATGGAATCTAAAAAGCAAAAGAAACAAACCTATAAAAACAGAGAACAAACTGGTGGCTGCCAGAGGTGAAAGCGTGAGGGAAGGGGCAAAATGGATGAAGGGGAGTAAGAGGTACAGGCTTCCAGTTACGGAATGAGTGAGTCGCAGGGGTGAACGGCACAGCACAGGGAATGTAGCCAGTGGTACTGTAATAGTTTTGTATGGTGACAGATGGTAGCTACACTTGCGGTGAGCATAACATAACACATAGAGTTATCAAATCACTATGTTTACACCTGAAACTAATGTAACACTGTGTGTCAACTAGACTTAAATTAAAAAATAAAAAATAGGGGCGCCTGGGTGGCTTAGTCGGTTAAGCGTCCGACTTTCGCTTAGGTCATGATCTCGCGGTTCGTGGGTTCGAGCCCCGCGTCGGGCCCTGTGCTGACTGCCAGCTCGGAGCCTGGAGCCTGTTTCAGTCTGTGACTCCCTCTCTCTCTGACCCTCCCCTGCTCACGCTGTCTCTCTCTCTCTCCTAGAAATAAATAAAACATTAAAAAAAATTTAAAAAAAATAAATAAATAAAATAAAATAAAATAAAAAATAAAATAAAGTGAATGACCCTCAACTTACTGGGTTTTAAAGTGTCTACAACAATATTCCAAATGTTTCATTAAACCATGATATTCAGCAAGTAAATGATCCATATGCTGATGGACCTGGAGGGAAACATTCAGTATGTATACTGAATTAAAACTGGAGCCTCCAATTGGATGCAACTTCAGAAACAAGAAAATGATATATACACTAATAATTGGGTAAAAAGCTACCTGTTCCTTATGCTGAAAACAATGTGTAATTATTTTTTATATTTTTAAGTAGACTTTATCGCTGCTAAAATATAATACTATATTCCTCTTATGCAAAAAATCACCATCATATTCTCCAAATTCTCTACCAATTCTAACATGAGATAAGAGATTCAATGACATTCTTAAGTCTCTGATGCATTCTTGAATCCTTGAAGCATTGTTTTCTACCTTAGTTTTTGGATTGGAAAAGAATGCATAAAAGAGGCCTATGAATAAAAAGTTTCAGAGAAGACACATTTAGGTAAGTGACACATATTAGGCAGGATCTTATTTATACTTCTGGGTCTCAATTTCCTCATTTGTGAAATAAGGATAGTGGGATATCTGTCTCACACATGGTTAAGAGGGTCAATTACTACCAGATAGGGCTGAGTAGTGTTTCCCCAAATTTCCTATCCAGACAGGATCTGTCAATGTGACCTTATTTGGTATCAGGTCATTTAGATGGATCAAGTTAAGATGAGGTCATAGAGAAGTAGGGTGGGCCATACATCCAATGACTGGTGTCTTTATGAGAAGGGAATGTGAAGAGAGAGACAAAGAAATGGTCCTATGACAATGAAGGCAGAGATTAAAATGATGCTGCTACAAGCCAAGGAAGGCCAAGGACTGCTGGCAACCATGAGAAGCAAGGAAGATTCTCTCCCCTTCCAAGAGAACACGCCCCAGCGGACTCCTTGACTGCAGACTTCTAGCCTGAACACCCAGTCTGTGGTACTGTAGCAGAAGACCACAAGAAACAAATACAGCATCGATGCCTAAAACAGAAATGAAGCATTTGCCTCATCTCCCACATAGAAAAAACATGCCATACATTTTGTTAGGGCTGAACAGCAGGCAGGTTCTAATCTTGTTTGACATGGACTCTCCAAGAACACATTTCCACAGTGTTTTAGTCACGGACCATGTTTACTCAACTGGAGTGGAATACATTCCACTCAACGGGACTTTAAGAGGCCTGGAAGTGGAGTGGGGTGGGGAGGTGAGAGAGGGGTGACATTAGTGGATCCTGGTTTTCCCATACAGATGCAGCTGGGTCTCTAGAGTTACTAAAGGCAGGACTCACCATCTGGTTTATTTTATTCTTCCTGTGTATTAACTTCATTCTTTCCCCCAACTGGAGTCTGTCTTTACCTACCAGGTGAAAACATGACTGCCAGCAGCTCCTGAATCTTATCTTTTTACAGAGTTTGTCCCCAAAGAAAGACTGTCTCTGTTTCCTGGGTCCCCAAGTCCAAAAAGCCCAGGGAAACACGTTGAGTGGCCTCAGCTGGGCCAGCTTCCACTCTTGAACTACCCACTGCGTCCACATGGTGAGGAAGGTACCACAGGGAGGGACGGATGGAGACAATCTACACAAGAACCAGCCCTACTTTCCTTTTGTGATAAAGCATGGTTTGACTTTGGTTCTTTTACCCCAAATTCTTACTAAAATGCTAAAGTGAGCAGCTAGAGGTATGGAAGTCATTGTAAAGGCAGATTCAAATACAATTTGAAGACTAAGAAGTTGTCATATATAAATCAAGAAATGCAGGACCTTGATAAGGAACTGCTAGTGAAGAGCCAATAAGCACACCAACTGGATGCTTTCTGTAAGTTTAGATAAAACAATTTTCACAGTTGGAATTAACTGAAAAAGTTTCCTACACTTAAAAGAATAAAAAAGAATATAATAAATTAAGCTACCACTCAAAGATACACTTTAAAGAAAGTCTTATCTTTTGGTAGTAGAGGAAATACATGTCATCAGCAATAAACATTTGACTGCCCTGTGAGGGCAGGGCACTGAGACACCACGAGATTGTTTCCAGAGATAATTAAACTCAATCTATGATTTTTAACTTTCTTAGAAATAGAAATGATCACTTACCATGGTACTGGGGTCTCTATCAGCTCGACTTCGTTCAAAAGAATGTATTCTATGGGCACTCATTTCATCAGTATCAGCAATGATATAATGTCTAGGAGAGTAAGCATTGGACAGGTTCTCAAGCAGCCTCAAGATCTCGGTGGTGTGCCCACCTGGAAAAAAATATTGGAAGGCCTAAGATTAACAATCCCACAATGTGGGGGCACCTGGTGGCTCGGTTGGTTAAGCGTCTGACTTTGGGTCAGGTCATGATCTCACGGTTTGGGCGTTCACTTCAGGTTCTGACACAGAGTCCGGAGCTTGCTTCGGATTCTGTGTCTCCCACTCTGTCTGCCCCTCTCCTGCTTGTGTGCCCGCTCTCTCTTTCAAAAATTAAAAAAAAAAAAACATTAAAAATTTTTTTAAAAATCCCACAATGTGGTTTTTAGAGGGGAGTTAGGTGGGGGAATGAGTTAAATAGGTAACGGGGATTAAGGTGTGCTTGTTGTGATGAGCACTGCATGATATATAGAAGTGTTGAATGTATGTTGTACTTTTCACCTGAAAGTGTTAACTAGCTGGAATTGAAATAAACACTTAAAAAAAAAAAAAAAAAAGAAAAGAAATACCCAATGGACATATCCATTTGGCTATGTTATACTAATGTTTCATGTATTTCTCAAAAGACAAAAGGAACATCTGGAAACAATAATCGATGTCCTTGTATAAATACTACTTTTTAAAAAAAATTTTTTTTAATGTTTTTTATTTATTTCTGAGAAAGAGAGACACAGTGTGAGCAGGGGAGGGTCAGAGAGAGAGTGGGAGACACAGAATCTGAAGCAGCCTCCAGGCTCTGAGCTGGCTGTCAGCACAGAGCCCGACGCGGGGTTCGAACCCACGAACTGTGAGATCATGACCTGAGCCGAAGTCAGACGCTTAACCGACTGAGCCACCCAGGTGCCCCTACATAAATGCTACTTTTAAATGGGAGAAGATGATAAATAAAAGTAAAACAATAAAACTGGCACTAGCAGTAGGTGCTAAGGAGGCACAAAGAAGCAGAAGACACAACTCCTGTTATCAAGCCTGGTAGGTGGGGAAAGAATGCACACAGACAGATAAAGAGTGATGCAATACAGCATGAAAAATTTAAATGGGGGCAAGGGGAGGAAAGCAAATGGTTAAGAAAACCAACCTTTTAAGAGTAGGGGAGATCCCTGATAAAGGCTGAGATGACTAGAAAGCTGAAGCTAAAGGACACAGAGGAGTAGGAAGGCCACTGGGCAGGATTATTAGGACATGAGATGGTAAGATCTGAGACGTGTGTTCTAGGAATGGGGGGAATACTGGGAAGAAGTATGAGGGTGAAAGCAGTTCAGGAAAGTAGGTTGAAAAATGGAAGGTCACTGAAGGTTTCTGGGCTGAGAAGTAACGTCAGTGTGGCATGAGCACTGACCCGCAGGGCTTGGGGCTTCGTAAGGAAGACTTCTGCTCATCACTGTAACCCCAGCTCCTAATAGAAGCCTCCGCACACTGCAGGTCGTCAAACACATACCAGTTTTGCCAAACAACTGTTCAATGTTTCAAACTGTACAACCTCCAACATTTTAGTACTTTGATTTCAAAACCATGAATTCAAAAATCAACTGTGTACATTGAGGTTACTTCATGAAAAAAACCCACAAAAGAACATCAATCTATCACATTAACAATACAGCATTTAAAAAAATATTTTTTAATGTTTTATTTCTGAGAGAGAGAGAGAGAGAGGCAGCATGAGCAGGGGAGGATCAGAGACAGAGGGAGATACAGAATCTGAAGCAGACTCCAGGCTCTGAGCCAGCTGTCAGCACAGAACCTGATGTGGGACTTGAACCCACGAACTGTGAGATCATGACCCGAGCCAAAGCTGGATGCTGAACCAACTGAGCCACCGAGGTGCCCCAACAATACAGCATTTTTAAGCAAAGCAATCAAACTCCTTCTCAATGAGCCCTATCATACCCATTTCGTTTCATTTCATAGTCTCTCAGCCTCAGCCACGTTGATGTCCTTAACATTCTCTCTATTCATCTTACTTGTTACCTCTGGTCGCCTCTGGTCACACTGTCCCCCCACCTACTAAACTCTCCTCCACTGCTATTGTTGCAAGACAGCGCTTTCAATAGTGACAGTGAACCTATAGAAGGAGAGAACAAATTAAGCATGTGGTTTCTCCTAACACACGTTATTTTCTTATTGTAGAAAGGGAAGGATTACTCTCTATATTCCAAAAGGGACTAGATGTAGAAATGAAATTGGCATAGCTTATGTGTGAGTTTCAGAAATTAGAATTATACTTCAACTTTATAACTTGTCACCTATCTTTGTGCCTGGGGCATGTAATTTACACATCTGATTTACACTCATTTTTCTATTTTTGTTTTTAGCCTTGAGAAAGTGTGGTGGCTTGCAAAGTAGGTACTTGTTTTCACAGCTGGACCAATTAAGGATAAAAAGGATAATATCCACATTTTCAACTGCAATTAAAACTTCATTATACCTGCTTTAACAGTCTCTTCTTTTTTTTAAAAGGAAACATTTACTGAATATATTCTTTGAAGATTTAACCTTGCCACTAAATAAAGTTGTTAAAATGATGAGTTTTTTCTTCCATTTTACTCTTTTATGAAGATATACTCTTCAGCGGGCGCCTGGGTGGCTCAGTCGGTTAAGCGTCCAACTTCAGCTCAACTCATGATCTTATGGTTCATGAGTTTGAGCCCTGCGTCAGGCTCTGTGCTGACAGCCAGCTCAGAGCCTGGAGGCTGCTTCAGATTCTGTGGTCTTCCTCTCTCTGACCCTCCCCTGCTCACGCTGTCTCTCTCTCTTGGAAATAAATAAAAAAAATTTAAAAAAATTTTTTAAAGATATATTCTTTGGGAACAAAATATTCTCAGTTCTACCTTAGATGATGCTCACATCACTCATTATCAGGGAAACACAAATCAAAGCCACACTGAAATACCACCTCACTCCAGAGTGTTTAAAATGAACAAATCAGGAAACTACAGTTGCTGGCGAGGATGTGGAGAAACAGGCACCCTCTTGCACTGTTGGTGGGAATGCAAACTGGTGCAGCCCCTCTGGAAAACAGTGTGGAGGTTCCTCAACAAATTAACAATAGAACTCCCCTAGGACCCAGCAATAGCACTGCTAAGAATTTACCCAAGGGATACAGGAGTGCTGATGCATAGGGGCACATGTACCCCAATGTTCATAGCAGCACTTTCAACGATAGCCAAATCATGGAAAGAGCCTAAATATCCATCAACCGATGAATGGATAAAGAAGAAGTGGTTTATATATACAATGGAATATTACTTGGCAATGAGAAAGAATGAAATCTTGCCATGTGTAGCAACGTGGATGGAACTGGAGGGTATTTATGCTAAGTGAAATACGTCAGTCAGAAAAGGACAAATATCATGTGTTTTCACTCATATGTGGGGAAAAAATAGTTACAGAGAGGGAGGGAGGCAAACCATAAGAGACTCAAATACAGAGAACAATGGATGGGTGGATGGGGGGTGAGGCAGAGAGGAAAATGGGTGATGGGCCTTGAGGAAGGCACTTGTTGGGATGAGCACTGGCTGTTGTGTAAGCCAATCTGACAAATTATATTTAAAAAAATACACCCAGAATCCAATCCCTTCTCACTATCACGTTTGTTACTACCCGGCTCCAAGCCACATTACTCTCACATCGATTATGACCATAGATTCTTGGTCTGTTCCCCCAGCTCCACTTGTCTATTTAAGTGGTCTATCCATTTATTCTCAACATACCATCCACTGTGATCCTATTAGAAAGTGTTGATCAAATGATTTACCTCTGCTCAAAAGCCTCCAGTGGCTTCCCCTCTCACATGGAATAAAAGGCATCTTGTAACCTAACCCCTTAATTTGCTACCTTATGCACCTCATTTGCTTCTAACCCAGTTAGGTCTCCTCCAGCCACTCTAGCCCCCTTGCTATTGGACATCTTGTCTCTCTCTCTCTCTCTCTCTCTCTCTCTCTCTCTCTCACACACACACACACACACACACACACACACACTGGCGGGGAGGCTTTCTCTTACAATTCTAAAATGCAATCCCCTTCCCTACACCCCAGTACTTATCACCATATAATTTAATATGCAGCCTATTTATTTCCTTTGGTTTTGTCTCCCCCTACCCTTCCTCAACCATGACATGAAGACAGGGACTTCTGTTCATCTAATTACTACTGTATCTCCAGTGCTTAGAAAATAGTAGGACTCCTACTACTATTGAATGGGTAGATGAGCATTTGATATTACATCGAAAATTTGGAGATCTTTTGGCGTTTCAAAGAAAAGCAGTAATTTCGATAGATGTTCTTTGAATGTAAGTGGTTGATTAATAATATTTTATGGTATCTAAAGATTAGACTTTTTTGGCATTCAAGGTAAACACTGAAAATGCCTTCCTCCTCCTCCAACATTTTGGGCATGAACTATTAAACTGTTAATCTGAACATAGTTCAGTCTTTCTTTGACCTGGATGATTCTTTGAGGTCCTTGACCTTTCCCTAACCTGAATGATTTGAATGACAAGGGCACCATCTGGCAGAGTAATTCTCAGTCTTAATTTTGGTTCACAGTCCACCAAATCTAATACTGTCAAATGAATGGTTCTAACATCCATTCATCCATTTGTTCAAGACAGGCACCTGGACGTCATTCCTGAGCCTTTCTTTCCCTTACTTCCCATTTTCAAACCACAGGTTCTGTGATTTTTTATCTCCTAAATCTTATTTAAATGCATATACTTCTCCCCATCCCTGCACCCATCACCCTAGTCAGGCTGTCATCATTTGTCATCTGAATTATTCAAAATGCTCCTACTTGTCTCCCTACTTCAGTATTTGTCAAAACATTCCCTTGACAATTCAGGGTAAATGATCTTTGTAAAAGCTTAGGTTTAATTGGGTCACTCTCCACTCAAAAGTGTTTTAAAAGATCCTTTGCTACCAAGATTAACAGTCGCCATTTTCTTTTTCATTTTTTTTTTAATGTTTTATTTATTTCTAGGATAGAGAGAGAGAGACAGCGTGAGCAGGGGAGGGCCAGAGAGAGGGAGTCACAGACTGAAACAGGCTCCAGGCTCTGAGCTGGCAGTCAGCACAGAGCCCGACGCGGGGCTCGAAACTATGAACCGCGAGATCATGACGTAAGCGAAAGTCGGACGCTTAACCAACTAAGCCACCCAGGCGCCCCAACAGTCGCCATTTACTAAATGCTTATCAGGGGCACCTGGGTGGCTCCGTTGGTTAAGTATCTGACTCTTGATTTTGGCTCAGGTCATGACCTCACAGTCCTGAGATGGGGCTCTGACTCAGGCCCTGTGCTGAGCATGGAGCCTGCTTGGGGTTCTCTCTCTCCCTCTCCCCAACATGCACACTTGCTCTCTCTAAAAATTTGTTTAAAAATGCTTACTATATGCCAAGCACTTTACTAAACCCTTTTAACACTACCATGTTGACTCTCTTCTCACCTCATCCCATATTTTTCAAGGTGGAAACAGAAAGCTGTGAGGTTAACTAACTTGTCCAAGATCACCGAGTTAATAAGTGGCAGAGATGTGACTCCACTCCAGGATTATGACAATCTAGAGCCTGTGCTCCTAACCCCTACATGGAATGAAGCAGTGGAATAGTGCCAACAGTTTTATAGAGCACGGTTTATAATGCCCTTTAGGATCTGGGCTGTGCTTACCTTTCCACCTTGAACTCAAGGCAACAGTGCCCTCCCACCTCTGGCCATTCCAAGTGCTTCTTTTCACACCCTCCCAGTCCTCAAACTCCCAGCTCCCCTTTCTTTGGTTGAATCCTGGTCATCTTTCAAGTTGCAGTTTAGACATCATTTCTTTCAAGAATTTTCCAGTCTCAAGTTCAGATAAAGGGTGCCCTTCCTGAAGACTTCCATAGCAGTCTGAATCTCCCCGATTACAGCAATGGCCTGTTTTGGGTTTTTGGTTTTGTTTTGTTTTTTTTTAGTTTTAGTTTTTCTTTAATCTCCATCCCATTCACTGCTGTACCCTCGCGTACCCTCGCATCTTTCACACTGCTTGGGCCACAGTCACTGCTCCATGATAAGTAGTATTAGTCAGTTTTGTTATTTCCAGAGCTTAGCATAGTGCCTGGTCTCTCCTAAGTCTCAATAGACGTTAAGCGAATAACGTAATCAATCATACTTGAACATAAGTTTATAACATTTGCTCGTACTATAATTATTATTGTATCTGGAGGCAATCTCCTAGCATTTCTAAATGTATACAATATATGTATCTCTGTCAGAACTAGTCCATTTAAAATTGTAAGCACCTACAGAACTGATCATCTCATTACCTGATTGGACAGCTTGTTGTTCATGCTCTTGACACAATATTCTGAAATGTGTATTGTTCTACGTATGGTCAGAAGATGGTTGTTTCTACCCTCCTAGATTTTGTGTACTTATAAATGGCAATTCACTTTGCCTCATTTATCAAGGAGTGTTTGTGATTTCTAAACGAAACACAACATGCCTAGATTAACAAGGCAAAACGACTATTATTACTCAGGAAAATTACAAGTTAGCATCATAAAGCTGCTGCGTCCCCTCCGTTCAATATACATAATATAGTAATATAATAATTTGTTGGAAAAATGTACGCTACAGGGAAGCTTAATTACAGACAAGTTTAAGTTACTCATTTGTCATTAAAAGATGCTTGGGCCGCGTCAGCAAACCAGCATTTTGCCCTGGCTGGGCTGGCCGCTTCCGGTAACACAAGGAAACTACAAAGCTCAGCATGCAATGCTCCAAAAGTGCTAAGGAGACCAGAGAAGAGCGTCGCGGTGCACTCTGGGGTTTGTAGTGACCGACCCACGCCCCTATACTTACCGGACCCAGCCACCACCAAGAGACTGAGAGACTGACGGGGCACAAGAACCCGAGAATGCAGCACTACCCACAGCCGCAGTGCCAGCAGCACGGCCACCACAGCTCCCGCCGCGGCTAGGGACGCTAACCATGCGAAGAAACGACACATGCGTACTGCCCCCGCCCGCGCTGCCGCTGAGAAGAGGTCAAAGTTCAACATGTACGGGCGCTGTGGAGACTCAAACGGGGCGTGGCGAGCCCCTCGATGGGCGGGGCTTGTCCACGCTGGGAGGAGTTCGGAGCGAGAGGCCGCAGCTGCAGTTCTCAGGACTTTGGTGGCTTGCCTACCGAATCCTGCGCTGCTGCCGCCCAAGCATAAACTGAAATTCGGCAAGTAAAGCGCAGAAGTGTGATTTCCACCCGTGACGAGGTCAGGCCACCTGTGCGCCCTAAAGGCTCCGGAGCTCCAAAGTTAGGAGGTGTTCGGCGCCACTAACTTTGTGAATTCCACTTGAGGCCAATAGCATACACAGCCTCTTCTCTTCTCTTCTCTTCTCTTCTCTTCTCTTCTCTTCTCTTCTCTTCTCTTCTCTTCTCTTCTCTTCTCTTCTCTTCTCTTCTCTTCTCTTCGTCTCTTTCTCTCCCTCTTCCTCTCTTTTCTTGCCTTCCTTCCTGTCTCTCTCTATATATCTAAATGCCAAGGAAAATGTTTCTGTTACACGTGCAGACATTACTGCGCTTGCCTGTAAAAGGCACCTTGGTACAAAAAGTTGAATTGAGGGATCAGAATCTCTTTCCCAATACTCGTGTTTTTAACTTTTCTAGGCCTTTTCTCAGGTCTCGGTGTGATCAGAATGGCAGAGGAGGATCACCCCCAGTTATGCCATGGCCCTAGAAGGAGTGGAAGCTCAGTGGCTCGAGGTAGCAGGAAGAGAAGGCAGCGTCCTACAATTAATATTCAGTTACCCCAAAGGCAGCACATCTCCCAATTATAATTTTGCTCATTTTTGTTGTCTATGTAACCCACATTGCAGCAAAATAAAAGTATTCAGATTACAGAAGTCCCTTCACCCCAAGTGTAATTTGCCTTCAGTCCTGTGCAGACCTGTAGGTAAGGATTGGGCAAGTATACTGATGAATAAACAAGTCCTGAAAGATGAAACAGTCAGCCCAAGTGAAATAGTGGCAGATCTAGATTTAGAAACCAGAAATCCTAACTCCTGCTTCATAGAGGTATTACATTGTGTATTCCTTTGCTGAGTTCAGACTTGCTTGATTATCACACTTGCCTAGAGCCAAGAAGGTGTCTTCTCTTTTTTAAAATTAAAAAAAAAATGTTTTAAATGTTTTTTTCTTTATTTCTGAGAAAGAGAGACAGAATGAGCAGGGTCGGGTCAGAGAGAGAGGGAGACACAGAATCTGAAACAGGCTCCAGGCTCTGAGTTAGCTGTCAGCACAGAGCCTAATGCGGGACTTGAACCCACAAACTGTGAGATCATGACCTCATGATCATGGCTTAACCGACTGAGCCACCCACGTGCCCCCCTTTTTAAAATTTTTAAAAAATGTTTATTTATTTTAAGAGAGAGAGAGCAAATGGGGGACGGGCAGAGAGAGAGAGAATCCCTAGCAGGCTCTGTGCCAATAGCACAATGCGGGGCTAGATCACAGGAGCCATGAGTTCGTAACCTGAGTCAAAATCAGGAGTCGGACACTTAATCAACTGAGCCACCCAGGCACCCCTAGAATGTGTCTTTTAAAATGCAGTCTCTTGGGAGAGGCCTGGGATCAGGTTATTTAACCAGTGTGTCAATTTCTCTCAGCAGGCAAGTTTGGAAAACATTTGGAAAATGATAGCATCATTTTCTGGCTAATGGACTTCACAGCACAGAATATGCAGCCTTCCATCAAATTGTCTTAACCCTGCATCCTTACAATAAGACCAAAAGGTGAATATTATTTCTCTCTTTACAGATAAAGACGTGGATTCTATTAACAGTTCAGTAATTTGGGGTACCTGGCTGGCTCTGCAGGCTAAACGTCTTGCTTTTGATTTTGGCTCAGGTCACAATCTTATGAGTCCTGAGATTGAGACCTGCGTCAGGCTCTGTGCTGAAGCACAGATTGCTTGGGATTCTCTTTCTCCCTCTCTCTCTCTTCCCCTCCCCAACTCGTACTCTCTGTCTTTCTCAAAATAAGTAAACATTTTTTAAAAAGTTAAATAGTTGGCCTAAGATTTCTCAGCTAGTAATAGTTGTGGGCTTAGAAGTCAGTGCATCATATTTTGATAAATTCAGAATCCCCTGGGCTTATAAATAGTTCAAAGTCCAGAGACCAGGGCCTCTGGCATAGTGTAAAAAACAACTTAAGTATATTACAAAGGATATAGTTTTCTTTCATCTGCCCACTTTACCATCCCCAGCAAGCACTTCAACCTAAGACTCTCCCCTCATGCTTAAAAGATGTTAGGGTCTCAGAAATTACATCCAGATGGGGAAATCTCTGGAGCTAAAAAAAAAAAAAAAAAAAAAAAAAGGTTATCTTGTCATTGGGTCTTTTTTTTTTTTTAAGGGTGAGGAAATGTTTTCCAGAACCCCTCACATCAGACTTCCTTTCACTCTCTCTGGCTATGTTTATATCACCTGATTATTCATAAAAGAAATGACACCTCAAAGTTGGCTGGGGTAGGGTGGAGGATGGCATACAGTTACCTGTTGTATCTGGCTATTTGATGGAGGGTGGGTCCTGAACACAATGGTCATTCTCTTGGAGAGAAGGAAGTTGGAGGAGGGCAGAGGAGAGATGATTGTTGTTTAGGCAAATAATAGTGTTTGGATTGCTGTGAGGATGTTGTGTCCCAGATGGCTTTGTAACCTGACACAGGCCATGTAGATGTCAAGCATATTAATAATTACTAGACTGCCGATGTCAGAAGATACCCATGCATTCTCCTTTTCCCCATCTCCTCATTTCTGTAATTACCTGTATCTGTAGGAAATATCCGCTTGACCACATTGGCATGCAGCTGGAATGAACAAAGATGATCAAGCATTTAGGGGCTGCCAGTAAATGGAGTGAATCAAAGCGGGTAGATAGAGTAGCAGACATTGTTTAGGGTCATTGGTTGAGTTATTTTGAATTAAGGCTAGGGTCAAACTGTTCAGTGTTCCTGACAAGGAAATTGAAGAGTGCAGAGAGGAGCTAGGTGGCAGGCAGGGACAGGAACAAAGTTGGGAAATTCTGAACAAAATCAATGTCTACTGGGCTCTGACAGGCACAAAATGTATAGACACGCAAAAGGTCAAGGAGTGCACTGGATTAATCAGGAAAGGCAAGGCTTAGTGGCAAGAAGCAATAACTAAAATTTCTGTTGGGCAGGTAAGTTGCACTGACAATGCAAATTACAGATAGATGAAAGTAAATTGTAGTGCTGTGAAAGCATGAAAAATGTATTAATAATTGACAAAATGAATAATGATATTGAGCCATAACTAATTTTAAGTAAAGTCTGTCTGGGAAGTGATTTTTATTACCTTCTTAAATCTATTTTCTTAAGTTTCTATGGCAAATATCTATTATTCATGAATATTTAAAAAGTTAAGATTATTTGCACTCTTCTGTAGGATTAATATACTTGTTAATTTATTCATCATATTTACTCACCACCTGCTATATGCTCAAATTAGGTACAGGGGATCTCATATGAATAGGATAGGACAGTAGCCTAGAGAAGAAACTAAGACTAGAGAGATGACAGTGGAGAGAGCAGAGGGTAGATTTGAGATATTTTTTATGGATAGAGTTGATAATGGATTAGATATTGGGAATCAAGATGGCTCTTAGAGTCTTCACTTCAAAACTGGTTGGATGGTGTCATTTGTTAAGAATAGACAGACGGGAAGGAAACAAGCTTTATGGGTAGAGAAAGAGGGAGGAGAGGATGACAATGAAGTGTTCTGGTTTGCCTGTTAGACATTTAAGTGGTTATGTCAAATAGGTAGTTTCATGTACAAATCTGAAGCTTGGGTCAGAGTTAGAGGTATAAATTTAGAACTCAGCATAAACATGGTGCTGAGAGCCACGAGACTAGATGAGATCACCTAAGGAGGGAGTTTAATGTGTGTTTTTTTTTTTTTATTTCTAGGAGAGAGAGAGAGAGAGAGAGAGACAGCGTGAGCAGGGGAGGGTCAGGGTCAGAGAGAGAGGGAGTCACAGACTGAAACAGGCTCTAGGCTCTGAGCTGGCAGTCAGCACAGAGCCCGACGCGGGGCTCGAACCCACGAACCGCGAGATCATGACCTAAGCGAAAGTCAGACGCTCAACCAACTAAGCCACCCAGGCGCCCCTTTTACAATTTTTTTTTAATTTTTTTTTTTTTTTCCTAAGGAGGGAGTTTAAGTCAGAACCTGTGCCATAGAACTTTCTGCAGTGATGGAAAGGTTTTACGTCCATGTTGTCCACTATCTACATGCACCTATGGAGCACTTGAAATGTAGCTAGTGCAATTGAGAAACTGGATTTTAATTTTATTTCATTTAAATTATTTTAACTTTCAATAGACAGACTATATATTGGACTACTATATTGGACAGTTCAGGATTGAGAAAGAGTATGGGGTCATCAACATTTAGAGGTCTAATAAAAGGAGACTGAGCCAGCAAGGAAAATAGAGAAGGGAAAGCGAGGGAGATAGAGGGAAAATCAGGAAAGAGTGGTATCCACAGAAGCCAAGAGAAGAAAATGATTCAAGAATGGGAATGCGGTCAGCTATGTCACATGTTGTTCATAGGGGGGACCCCATGACTTGAAAACAAATTAGTCACTGAGGCTCTAAACAAGCGCAGCATCCATGAAATGCTGGTTACAGAAGGCAGTTGGAAATGGGCAGAAGAGAGAATGGAAGATGAAGAAAATATCTGTAGACAACTATTTCAAGTTTTTCTTTGAAAGGGAATGGATAAATTGGTTGGAGAATGAAAGAGAATTTGGAATTGAGGAAACTTATTTTTTAAGATAGGAGTTACTGGACATACTCATTTGCTTTTTAAAATGATCCAGTGGAGGCAAGTTGATGCAGGAAAGAAAGGGAATGAGAATAAGAACAAAATTCTTCAAAAGATGAAAAGGGTTGGAATATACAGCACAAATGGTGGAGGTTGGGCTTTGATAGAAGGACGGACCCTTGTTATATCCTGCAGGGATATAACGCAGGTACTGGGAGGTTTTTAGAATTGGTGGTGAATAGATGAGGGTGTGGAGATGGAGGACAGAGTGTGAGAGGCTTGAAGAGAAAGAAGATGGGAAATAATCATCTTGAAAAGTAATCGGCATATTCATCATGATTAGCATAGGATTTCTGGGCAGATTGGAATATCTACTTGAACCCTGTGATAACAAATTTAGAGAGAAACCAGTCAGCATAATTTTATGTCTTTTCTCCCCACTGGAAAAGGCAGGTTGTTGGCTTTAACCAAAGTTAGATTTTTGACAGGTGAATACTTTAGCAAGGTAAGGTTCTTCTCAAAGGGGTGAGGTCCATGAAACGTTCTCTGGACATAGTGGGAAGTGAAGACAGGAGAAGAGAGGTAGGAGAGTGGATAGAATGTAATAGTGGCAGAATGTAAGGTCAGGGGTTGGAGGCCTAAAGAAGGTTGGAAATACAATGAAAGAACTAGAGCCAGTGAACTGTAAAGACAAGCGGTTGTAGTCAGAGAGTGGGATTCTTGAAGTCACTGTCATGTTCTTACTGGTAGTAGTTTTTAGGGTGTGACTATAAGAATGGATGAAAAAGATATGGGGGCCACACATGGATGCTGAAGTCACTAAGGGGTGGAGAGGACAAAAATAAGCTCAAGTCTTCAAAAAGTAAGAGTTTGAAAGATGAGACCAACCAAAAAGAACTCTGGGTACAAGCTGGATTATCTTCTATTTGTCCCTCAAGATTCACGCTTCTCCACCCCACTCAGAGCCATGGGAGGTGAAACTTACGGATTCAGTCAACAGTTTTCCTTGCTCTCTGGTTCTAGTTGGGTTCTAGTTGAAAGAGCCTCAGCAGATCTGCTGCAGGGAGGCTGTGTCCCTGAATGGGAGATTTCTGCTCTTCAACAAGGCTTCTGCACACTTCTCTCCTTCTGGGCCCCAGGTCTTCCTTTCCTTGTTCCTTCAGGCCAAGGGGTGGTAAGAGTTCCACTGTTACCAGCCCTGAATTACTGCACTCTTCCCTGTGCCTCCTTTACCTCATTCACACCTCTATAAATAGCCCCTTTGTTAAATCATCCTCAAGTTAATACAAGTGTACCACCTCTGCCATGTTGGGGCAGTACAGCTGCATGACGAGCTCCCGAGGAGCGAGGGTTTTTGAAAGAAGGAGGAATGGTTTGGAAGCAGCGACACAAATTGAGTTTCCCCACCTTCTGTGGGGGTGTGAGAAGCAAATGGCCTCTAGTTGAGAGACCTGTTGAGGAAATGAGGGAGAGCAAGTCTTCAGCTTCTGCAGGGACATGGAGAAGTCATTCAAAAAAGAAGTTGAAGGCGTCGGAGGGGTTTGCAGGTCACAGATTAGGAGGTTTCAAAGAATGCCGTGAGAGGGGTTGGAGGCTGGTGAGGAATGGGAGTTGGTGCAGATTGGGGGAGTTTACAAGTAACCATGGATATAAGAATCAGGATGATAATGGCTAATCTGGGAGGCTTCTGGGGATTGAAGTAAACAGGGGTGAGGGCAGCCTCTCAATTCATTTCAGTTCAGTTCTACTAGTACCTAATATGTACAACTCACCAGGCTAGGTCCTGGGGGTACAGTTGTAAGGGAGTAACAGTTAATACCCAAGCAGTGACTTAACAATGAGCCTGACTGTGTGAGCTGCAGACCTCTTGACAGGATCTCCTAGAGAAAAGCCACCCAACCCATGCTTTCATGGGCTGCTTGGAGTCTGGGCCACTAGGGACCCTGCCAGGTGGGCCCCTTCCCACCAGAGTTCAGCCTTCCATTCTAATGAGAGTATTAAAGTACAGATAAAGAAGATTGAAGCTCTTCTGCAAGAACCAGAAAGACCACGTTGGTCAGCATTATGTTTGCCCATGACAAGGTAGGGTAAAGCTAGAAGGGAGTTTTAGTCTGGGCCATAGACAGAGCTGTGGAGACCAGGACTGATGGGTGCATGCCTTACCATTAAAGATGTTCTGCAAGATTGGGTAGGCTAGGTGATAGAAATTGTCCCAGTACAACCCAAACAGCCTGCGTTATAGCCAAGACTTTTATTCCTTGTGAGATATACTGATATATGTTTACACTGCAGTCTTTTCCTGGATGAAGCCACTTGCTAGGATTCCTTGAATGCAACCCTTGAAGGCTAAGGCAATTGTTAATACGTAATTGGCATTTACTGTGTGCTTCCTGTATGCAGGCACTGGGAGCATGAATTAACTAATTCTCACAGTAACCCTACAAGGTAGGCATTATATTGGTACCATTTTACAAATGAAGACATTAAGGTATAGAGAGATTATTTGCTCTGGGTCTCAAAGCCAGGAATTGGCAGTCAAAATTCCAAAAGGCTCACACTCTGCCCTGCTATAGTATCATTAAAAGTATTTATCATATATTTACACCAGCTGTTGTGCTATATATACCAAAGGAAGGAAGATATAAATATAATGCTATTTACTATGACTAATTTTTCCTTTATAAAATTAGAACTAAATAGCAGCCAAAGGATTTTTTAAAAGTGGCCTTTTCAGGAGTGCTTGGTGGACTCAGTTGGTAGAGCATGCAACTCTTGATCTTGTGAGTTCAAGACCCATGTTGGGCATAGAGCCTACCAAAAAAAAATTTTTTTAAGTGGCTCTTTCATATTTCAGTTAAGAATTGCTTCTCTGTTTTCTAGATTTTTGTCCAACTGCATTCCAAAAGGATAGTAGATTAAATAGACATAGGTCTGTCTCTCAGTGTGTAATCACTCTTGATTCATGCCTATTTAAGATAAATTTGCAGTGAAATTACTCAACACACTAATTTTATTGCCTTACTTTATGTTCACTTATCTCAGATATATCTTTCCAGGTATCTTTATAAATTCCTTGCCCTAGCCCTGTGCACACAAAATGCCTTATCAGTTCCAAATTTAACTAGACATTAAAGTCTTATTTAAAAATACATTCCCAGACCATCATGGTATCGCACCACGTCACACTGTTTACTAATGACAACCACAGCAGTAATGGCTCCTTTCATTTTCAGTCACCATATTTCCAGTTTTAGACCTATAAATAAAGTCAGAAATAATTCTATTTCTGCACTAAACACTGCTTGTCTTTGGAATCTTTCGAATTAATTTTCTTCTCATCCAGACCCTCCCCCTACCCCCCACCCCCTGCAAAGCCTCTGCCTGGCATGTCTATCAAGTCTGTCTTTTCTTCTTCATTGTACATCTGCCCTTTTTATGATACCTTTCCCAAATTCTTTTTTTAACTTTATTTACAGACCCTGAAACTTGATTGTCATTTTAAAAATGTCTATTTATTTTATTTTTGAGAGAGGGAAGAGAAGGAGAATGCACGTGTGAGCATGAGTAGGGGAGGGGCAGAGAGAGGGAGACTGAAAATTTCAGGGCCAGGCTTAAACTCATGAACCATGAGATCATGACCTGAGCCAAAATCAAGAGTCAGATGCTTAACTGACTGAGCCACCCAGGGTACGCCCCCTCCCCAAATTCTTTTTTGCTGTCGCAGAGCTTTTTGCCCTTGTTAGAAACACACAATTGTATCTTCTCTCTTACCTGACTATACATTATTCCTTAACTTTCTATGAAGAGAAAACATGGTCAACCTGTGAAATTCACATGCATGATAAAACATGCAGGCTACCATTTTGTAGGCTTTTATGTACTTTCTCAACTACCCTTCATTGCCTCCTATGAACTTAAGCTCTGTTATTATCCCTGTTTTGTAGGTGAGGAAGTTGAGTCTTTACCATGCTCAATCATCACTGCTGCTGCTTTGATTTGATTTCCTGTGGATGAACTGTGGCCATCTAGTGGCTTCAGGAATATGGTGATGTTACCTAGGGAAGGTACTTAATGCAGAAAACATGTTACATTAAGAAGAAAGGGATAAGAAGAATGAAATATACAGATGTGTTACTTAAAGGTTAGTGATTTTTCTCTTGGAAGTGTTGTGTCAATAATATGTGAATACACTTTACAACAGCAGGTAAATAGCTCTTGCTATGACCTTTAACCTTGTTTGTTCCCAGCGTCCCCATGATTTATTTAATATCCTATTCACATTTCCTCAGCATTAGGTGCCCTATTCCTTGTGAATCCCTTCTCCCTTTGTTACAAACAGGCTTGTTAATTTACCAACAATAGCTTTTGATAGAAATCTCAGATGACTTAGCTGTTTCCTAAACTTAAGATTCCCTTCTCCACACTACTACTCCTGTGGGACTTTGCTGGTTGTATTTGTTTTGGAGTAAGTTAAAACACAACTTAAATGAAAAAAAAAACCAAAAAAAAAAACAAAAAACAAACAAACAAACAAAAAAACACAACTTAAATTAACCTGAGAAAGTCTTAACACTTTGTAATAATAAATATTTACCTAGGGAAATGTGGAATAACTGTGTCTTAACTTGGAAATTTAAAAGAATCTTTAAATTTCCCTTTCTGAACAAATGCTATAAACTAAATAAAACCTTTTATGGTCAGTGTCCTCCATCAATTATGCCCTGTCTTTCCTGAATATCTAACCACTGACTCTCGCTGTGTCTTTATCCTTAGCCCATAAAGCTCAAGTCTCTCCCATTAAAAAAATAAAAGCAAAATCAATAAAACCCTCCTTCCATCCGTCTGGCTCATCGTAACTCCTTGAAACTACCAGCCAGGCACAGCCCAACCACGTGAAAATGGCACTCCAGTCTTTAACCACACCTTTTACACTTCCGCCAGAGTGTTTTTCTACTCCCAGGCTATTTCTGTGCAGTTGGGTTATTTCATGGAACTGAAGCCTCTGGTGAGCACAGAGCAAACTTCTGCTTCAGTTGCTGAAGTATATCCTGAGCATATAGCCAGGCAGCCCATTCTTGGTGGACTCCTGGCTTGTGGAGGTTCCTCTCAGCGTATGGAGGAAGCATGGCGCTCTCAGCACTGCAGCAATAAGTATTGGTTGACACAGGCCTTGCCCTAGAATGACTCTGACCTGTGCACAGTGGATCCCTCTATGGTATACTGACCCGAAGAGTGTTTGAGTGTCTAAGAGCTTGGTTGAATTAGTGCAGACCTGACTTGCTCCTGCAAAAAGAAACAGAGCCTTTCCCTGATAAAACTTTTAAATAAATGGCATATATCAGAAGTGACCTATCTTAGCCTGTATTCCCTCTCAGCCACCACCATGTGGCTATGCAATAACTTTCTGAAAAGACCTGACAAACCACCCAAGAAAGGGATTTTCAGATGCTTCCTCTTCATTTTATTATATTTCTTTCTTCTAAGTCTCTCAGTCTGGCAGTCTCTCATCCTTCAGAAATAGTCAACCACTTCCCATCAAAGGAGGCTTTATTCCTTGGTTTCTTTTTCCATGTCCCAATACCTCAGGCTTCATCTGAAGGAGCATTGTTTTTTTTAACTCAGTCATTTGGGGCTCCAGAGGATAGCTTAAGTTTCATGACTGAGGGTTAAGGTGAATCTTCCAATAGTTATTTAGTCTCCCACCAGAGTGATCTCTGGGTCATCTGAAATGTAAGCACACATTGCAACAAGAAGCATTTATTTTCCTCTGAGACAATACAATCTTATCCTTTATCCATGAAAACTCTTTTTTTTTAAAAAAAGAATGTTGGCCTTATAGTGTAAGAATAAGAGATTGCTACTTTCTCTTCCACTTTGAAGAAATAGCAGCAACTTTAATTAGCATTTGTTGATTCTGGGTCTTTTTTTACGGGAGTTTGGGGTAGAAGTGAGTTATTTTCAGTTTAGTGTGCCAAACAAAAGTACCTTATGTTTATGTTTTTCTATTGCTGATTCATCTCTCTCTTGACCATTCATATTTATTGATTTATCGCCCCCCCCCCCCCCCCCCCCGCCCCCTGCCATTGGTATTCTGAAGAGGAAGGGTTTTGCCCAAAGTCCACCTGTGGCTGAGGTGTTTTGGGTCCTTCATTTCCACACCAGCTTGGATCCCTGATTGTCCAGGGAACAAGCCATCTATCTTACGCAGACATGGCAATTACTGACTTTGAAAGTGGAGGTAGATGGAGGCCCCAGGACCGCATTACTGTAGGATTCAACCACTGTATCCAAGAGTAGTTCTGAACTTGGGGAAAACCTTACCAGCCTAAGGTGCAGAGCACTTTGCTTTCCAGATGTTCAAGGTGCATGTTATGTATATTCCGGGCAGCCAGAACTGGAGGCCACCCTCATCTCCAGAACCCGATACACCCAACTTGGTCCCTGGGGGCTGGTTCTGATCTTAGTAAATACGCAAGTGGAACTAATCATAACTAGTTACTATTTTCTCTCTTTTTTTTTTTTGCCCAAAACTCAATGTTTTTAAAAGAGACAAGTCCACGTTTGCTGCCTTATTTTTCTTTGTTTGTTTCATTCTGTAATTTGCTGCAATCTCTCTTCTGCCATAGTCACTCATCAGTAACCTCTAGATTTTTGAGTCCAAAGAGCATTTCCTTTTCCAGCCTTTCTTCTCTTCCCTCAGGCAATTGAATTTTTTTCTCCCATTGACTTTCTTTACTCCATTCTCTTCTGATTCTCTTCACATCACACTTGATATTCTTTTTTAGTTTTTCTTTTACCTACTTACCTTCAAATAAAAAAACAACTGGAAAATATATTTAGATACTAGAAATAATAAAATGGAAACTTGGGTAGCCACCAGCTGGATTTTTTCCTTTCTTTTATTCTTTTTCACACTGCCATTCTCTTTCCCTCTGAAAAACAAAATCCTATTTACCATATTTTGGCCTTTGACATTTCTGAGGACTCTTAACCTTGGGAATCCTTTCTTCATGTGGCAGATGAATGGCTGCCGCCACAACATCTGTTGTCTTCTTTCTGGTGCATGTTCGCTCAGCTGGAGACTCCTTGTTGTCCTTTTTACAGCTAGCTATGGTTTTGTGGGGATGTTCTTGCCAATGGACTATAACTAGAAGCACAGAGTACAACTTTGTCCTTACCTTTTTGAAAGAAGATGGCTTGCCTCACATTGCTTGCTGTCTCCTCCCTGGATATGTCTATGACCGGTTGCACCCGTCAAGATGAGGAAAACATCCTAGGAGGGGCTGGGACAACAAGATACAAGGAATCTGGGTCCTGAATGACCTCACAGAACAGAGCACCCTTTCAGTCTAGGCCCAACTGTTCTATGAAAAGGGAAGAAATTGTTTTCATCTTTCATTTCTTTACTTTCATTTTTCACTGCTTTCTGGGGTCTCTGTGACAGCAGTTTAGCCTTTTCTACAAAAATTGATACCTGGAAATGGAGGACTTCTAACAGAGTCTTAAAACCTATAGCATTACCTAAATGGTCAGAGAATTGACAGAGAGGAAAGAGATCTCACAGGCTGGAAAACTAGCTATTCTTATAGTGCCATTGCAAAATATTTGGTAAAAATCTCACTCAGTTTGGAAGACTGACCATGTTTCTCTTATGGCTACATTTTAGAGGAAACGTTTGAAAAGAACCAGAATATAAATGTGTGACTATGGCTCCTTGGTTAGTTTAGAAAGGCTTTTCAAGAAAGAAATGAACTCACATCGGAAAGGATGGGTTTTCAAGGAGAGATGGAAGGAAATAGAGCATATAGAAAATTTGGACCTCACAAGGTTGGAAAAATCCAATTATTTGTATAGTCCAAACAGGAGAGTAGTGTTTTTCAGAGGCTTTCTTTTTTTTTTTTTTTTTTTTAACTTTTTTTAATGTTTATTTTTATTTTTTGAGAGAGAGAGACACAGCATGAGTGGGGGAAGGTCAGAGAGAGAGGGAGACACAGAATCTGAAACAGGCTCCAGGCTCTGAGCTGTTAGCCTGATGCAGGGCTCGAACTCACGAACCATGTGATCACAACCTGAGCCAAAGTCGGACGCTTAACTGACTGAGCCACCCAGGCGCCCCTCAGAGGCTTTCTTGAAGCCTACGCATTAAGATTCCTTAGCCAAAGAAATCTAGCTTTGCAGCAAAGGTCAGATTGGGGGTGTTACCTTCATTTACTTTTTAAAGAATACCTCACAGTAGCCACCATTAAAACAATGAAAAGACGAATGAGTAAAGCATAGATACTAGGGAATAAGCAAGTTTGAGAGCTCGGTCCCAAAAAGAACTTTGGGTCTAGCTTCTGGCACACGTAACAGATTGGAGATGAATAGCATAGAAGCCTTACTAAGATCTTGAGGAACTGTATTGCCAAAGACACCCAAAATCTGACCTGCAAAAGCCAGACATTGTGTCCACAAGCCTTCTCCAGGAAAGCATGCTCTCCAGTAGTCACTGAAATTTTGAACCTGGAGGACTATGGGCAAGGGAGAACCTCCCAGAGTGTGAGCCCAGGGACACTGTGGGCATAACCAAATGCATCCAGGTGGGTTAATCAGGGAGCTTTTCCACGGCCAGGGCGGGAAGTTCTGTCTGCAGAGAAAACTATGAAGGACTACTTATTGTTGTAATTTCCCATTCTGCCCTTTGTGAAATGGAAGTTTTGTTATAATTAATTCTATTCCTGCTTCACCATTGCATATGGGGTTAAGAGTGGGAATCAAGTGGGGTGCCTGGGTGGCTCCATCAGTTAAGCATCCAACTTCAGCGCAGGTCATGATCTCATGGTCAGTGAGTTCAAGCCCCGCATCAGGCTGTCCTGACAGCTCAGAGCCTGGAGCCTGCTTCAGATTCTGTGTCTTCCTCTCTCTCCCTGCCCCTGCCCTGCCCATACTCTGTCTCTCTCTCTGTCTCTGTCTCTCTCAAAAATAAATAAACATTAAAAAATTTTTCCAAAATAAAGAGTGGGCACCAAGAAACTTCTTTTTAGTTTATAGGTTATTGGACTATATGTAGCCACATCTACACATAATAGAGAAGTCCTTTTCTCAGAGATACCGAACTTTGGGCTGGCTACAGAAACTACATAGGCCCACAGATGGTCTCTG